CACAAAGTGTATAGTAATTTTTGTCTACATTTTTTAACATTATTGTTTTAGCACTCAAAATCCAACTTTTCATTTTATTTATGTGAAATGTTTTGCTTGAAAATTGTGCATTTTGTTTGATAGTCTGTATCTAACGTACTGACATTCATTAATTTTACAATGTGACTTTTGCACTACGGGTCGAAAGTTTTTTTAATAATTAGGATTTTTGGATGTTTTTGAAAAAAGTCTCTTCTGCTCACCAAGGCTGTATTCATTTGATGAAAAATACAGTAAAAAAACGGTAATATTGTGAATTATTATTACAATTTAAAATAACTATTTTCTATTGGAATATATTTTAAAATGTATTTATAAAATATGACAGCATTTAAACAGCATTCATTTGAAATAGAATTCCTTTGTAACATAATAAATGTCACTTTTGATCAATTTGTTTAATATATATATATATATATATATATAGCAGCACAACTTTTTTCATTGATAATGATGAAAAATGTTTCTTGAGCAGCAAATCAGCATATTAAAATGCCTTTTGAAGGATCATGCGATACTGAAGACTGGAGTAATGATGCTGAAAATTCAATTTTGCCATCACAGGAATAAATTATATATTTAAACATATCCAAATAGAAAACAGTTCTTTTAAACTGTAATAATATTATAGTTTTTACTGTAATGCAGCCTTGAGCATAAGAGACTTAAAAAACATTAACAAGTCGTAATTACCGTATTCCAATCATTTGACCTGTAATGTAAGTGTGCAAATACATTTTGGGGACACTGTATTTTTTTAAATTAAGAATATGTTCTTAAGGATACCTGCACGAAGTTCATGACTCTGCAAGTGCAAACGGAGAGATTATCCATGCAAGCATCAATGTTTGCAGGAACATGTTTGCACTATTAGTTCACCAAGGCATGCCATCTTCACACCACATCCACAGAGTGAGGAACAAGGCATCTGTTGATCCTCAGCTACTTGCTGAAAAGATAAAGGGAATCGTCACTGAAAAGCACATTTTGGAGATTACATTTTATACAAGTGTTATGTCATTTCCAGTAGCAGCAGCAGTCATATCAAGACTGACTGCGCTTTCAGTAAAAGACGTTGCACCGACATCAATGAAAAACAGCTGTGTGTGAATCTTTTGTCCATCTTGGCATTGCACAAACTTTGGATGCATTGCCTCACTGAGACAGATATAGATATATATATATATATATATATATGCATTGATATATGTGTGCCCGGCCCCTTACAAAACATAGTCACGTATGAGGTTCATCTGTACAGATGAACAGCTTAGACTGAATTCTAACACTTTTATCGGGACTATAATATTTATCACATCTCTAAGACTGTCTTACAAATCTCCACAATTCTTCCCAGAACATCTATAACCAATTAACATGACGCATGTCTCACTCTATGAGGTTTCAATTATTCACTCACTAAAACTGTAAGACCACCAGATTGTCTCCTGCATGCCTTTACTATTTGTCTCTGAATCTAAAATAGGCCTGCAAACATCTGCAGGTTGCTGTGACAGGCTGCAGCAGAAAGGATTTCAGCTTAGTAAAGAGTTCCAGGCCATGTGGAGCTGATTTGGAAGTGTCGAAGAGATATAAACACGTCATCTCAGCAGAGTGAAATATGGCACAGCATATCTTTGATCTGATGTGGGTCATCTCCAGAACCTGCCGGCTGGGTCAGATGGTACCCGACCTAACCCTGCTGAGGCCTTCGAAGAAATGGAATTACTGCGTATATATACCACTAAGTCAGGAGATTTTGGTCTGGAGAGGCTGCGCTGTGCCTCTGGGCCATATGGAGTCTATCTGAAGCAGCGGTGTTGATGGAGCGGGTCAGGCCAAGGGGAAACAGGCTTCAAAGTTGGGCACATGTCAATGTCTCTCTTATCCTTTCACTATGAATTACAGGACAGAAGATATTCATTCTTCCCAATCGCCTGATCGCCTTCATCCTGCTGGAAAATCCAAAAAGTGTTTATCAAAGGCAGGTACTTCACCCTTAGCTCACCCAAAAATAAAAATGTGGTCATATTCACTCACCTTCATGTCGTTCCAAACCTATGCCATTTCAGAGAAGAAATGACTGTATCTACACTTTTAAAAATAAGTTGCCAAAAAGGGGGTTTTGCAGTGAAGAACCATTTTGGCTCTCCAAAGAATCTTTCCATGAACAGTGCTTAAAAGACCCAGTTTTCTTAATGTGAAGAACATTTTTATTAATCTAAAGAACGTTTTCCATTATAAAGAACCTTCTGTGTAATGCAAAGGTTGCATTGGGGATGTTAAAGATTCTTCATGGAACCATCAATGCCAATAAAGAACCTTTATTTATATACCAGTTAATTTCAGCCGGATATACATGTATGGTATTTTTATGTGATTTTGACATCCCCAATTCTCATTTATTTTCATTATATGGAAGAGAGCAGACAAAATTCATCTTTTGTGTTGAAAATAAAGGTTCTTTATTGGCATCAATTCCATGAAGAAACTTAAACATCCATGGAACATTTCCATTGGGTTCCAAAGGGTTCTTTATAGTGGAACAAAAAAGTTATTTAGATGATTAAAATGTTCTTCACACTACGAAATATGGCTCTTTTAAGAACTGTTGGCTGAAAGATTAGTTGGGAAACCAAAATGTATTCTTCTATGGCATCGCTGCACAAACCACACTTTGGAAACTTTACTTTAAGAGTGTACAGAAGAAAAAAGGCACACAGTTTTGGTCATGATGCTAAGTAAATTATGAATTTTTGGATTAACTACTCATTTAAATGAGTTCAGTCTGTCAGTGTAGAACAGAGGAGATGAAGCAGAAAATTCCATTTGGGATTTGAGATTCGATCTACATTAGGATGTTCTTGAGTAATATCAATGTGGCAGACATTGTTTGTTAGAACATATGTAAAAGCCGGTAGACGCATTCAACAATTTTCTCCTTTCTTTATATTAGAGATGTTGTAGCATGTTAAACTATAATTGCGTCAAGCTCTTTGATTAAGAAGCATTCATGTTACATTATCTTGAAGCTCTAAAACCATAAACATCCCTCACTGAAAATCCTTTCAGAACGTCCATGTTTTAACCAGAATGGACATGGAGACCATCTGAGCATCCTCAAGGCTATTCTCGCTGGCTTCGGCTCAAGTGTCAGTCATCTGTTCACATGTGGATTACATACATAAATCAAAGGGAAACAAATCTTCTTTCTGAAATAAGGCATAATTTACAATCGAAATCCTTACAAATGTGACCAAACTACTGCCTTATACAAAACATCCCAAAGCCTCTTTTGAACACTGGACACTGGTAAAAGAAATCTGACATGCATTATTATTGTCTTATTCAAAAAGACAGTCCAGGCCCAGCATTCAAATGGCCGTGTAAGAGAAAAAGCCTGTGAGGATTTGCCAAAAGTTCTTCACAACAGGCTGACTCCTACATGTGTTTAGGGTATTGTGAATCCGTGGACTTATTCTGGAAAACAATAGGAAGAGGTCTTTCATCTGACTTGATAGGATGGCGTGAAGAAATTAATCTACTGTGTGCCACGTCTGAAAGAGGTGAGAGACCTTTCGTGGCATCTTAATAACTGTGAAAAAATGATGACCTTAAACGTTAACGGGGGATTTTCGGCATAAGGTGAATATGAAAATTCAATACATAATGCATAGCTTGAAAAATAAAAACTGTTGTAATTTTAGACATTTTTGTGAATTATCAAAATTATAAATTCCAATATCAACTAATGAAGGTATATTTTAACTGAGAAGGGTTATATATACTGTATATACTGCATACGCTAAAGCTTATAACAAGCCAATATTTTAAGAATTATGGTGTAATATGTTGCCTTTTTACGTGTTATAAGTTGTTTTGTGTCTGTTTTACCGTTTGCATTTTGCTGTAAAGACTATAATAGGCTGGTTAAAGGCAGGTGGCATTGTGACAAAATACCCCATTTTTTTCTGGGGCAGAAACAGTGGAAAGGTTTTTTTCACACCTATTGAGAAATATTCACTAAAAAGTGTGACAACTAGTCTTATAGAATAATTCAAAAAGGCATCAAATAAATAAATGAATGAACAAATAAATAAAACAACAATATTTTACTATATTACATGCATATTGCTTTGTTAAATACAATATACGTTGTAGTATTTCAAATGTGAGAATTTCTTTTTCTCCTAAAACCATTTTTAAAAGTATAATGTACATTATTTTACACCTATAATTTCATATATACATTTTTTTTAATATCTTATGATTTCTTGAGAAATTAAGAACTATTCACTTATGTGAAAAAAATGTGACAACTAGCCCTGATTGCTCTTATGAAATAATTTTAAAAAGGCATCAAATTAATAGATAAACAAATAAATAAACAAACAAATCATATAACAAAAATACAAATAAACCTTTTAAATAAAATCTCAATGCAAGAAATTCCGGAATCTACTTTCCGCATAAATTAGGTGATTCCTACTTTTTACCTATAAAGAACAACAACAATATTTTACCATATTACAAACTGCCTTATAATGCAATATACAGTGTAGCATTGCAAATGTTAGATATTTTTTTTTATTTTTAAAATATTTTACAACGTAAAATATTTTACATCTATAATTATTTTTTAAATAGGCCTCTTATAATTTCGTAATATCAGTTTTACCATAATACTTGCCCGTTTTTACTTCACCATTTTACATTCTTTACGCATTTAAATGTCATTTTTTTACAGTGTGAGATTGACATATCTTCTAAAACTGAGAGTATCGATCTAAAAGTGGGGTATAATTTGAGTGGCAGCCGGTGGAGAATTGCAGTGTAATTTAAGACTGGTCCTCCTCGTTTATTAGTCCACCAATCAGAGAGCAGCGCTTCCTCCCCCTCCATTCACACTAGTATTTAGCATCAGAGACTAGGATAAAGTTTCCCAAAAAATTAGGAAAAAACTTCCTGCGGGAGGAAAACTGTGCCAAGCTCTACTTCTGGAAGTGGAGGCGCAGTCTCGGGACTTCGCGAGGACGAACAAACTCCAGAAAAACGCACGGATATAACGGTCTAACCACGGATTCAAAGGTGGAGAGCGCGTTTTTTCCTCGACCTTCTCATTTCTTTAAAAGAGAAATGGAAGAGAGTTCAAGCTCTCCCGTCTCCCCAGTGGACAGTCTGGTGACCAGCGAGGAGGAGTTGGATAGACCACAGAAAAGTTTCGGAAGGAAGAGGAGACACAGAAAAAAGTCGAGCGAGGACGGCAGCAGCCCGAGCTCCGTGAATAAACGCGGCAAGAAGCCGAGCCCGAGCAGCACTCAGTCGTTCGAGGAGCTGCAGAACCAGCGCGTCCTGGCGAACGTCAGGGAGAGGCAACGGACTCAGTCGCTGAACGATGCCTTCGCGTCTTTGCGCAAAATCATCCCCACGCTCCCCTCGGATAAACTCAGCAAGATACAGACGCTCAAGCTCGCCTCCAGGTACATTGATTTCCTCTGTCAGGTGCTGCAGAGCGACGAGATGGACAACAAGATGTCCAGCTGCAGCTTCGTGGCGCACGAGAGACTCAGTTACGCCTTCTCGGTGTGGAGGATGGAGGGCGCGTGGTCGATGTCTGCGTCCCACTAGCCGCGAGACTCGTCCATACAATGCCGAAAGGGTGGGTAGAAAGATGGCAGTTCATCTTAAGACGTTATTATATTGTCTAGCTCTTTGATTAGTTTGACTCCGTTCCTGTAGTAAAGAGAAACGCCAGCTGTTCTGGACAACTGACACTGACAGTTCAGTGCACGAATGCAGCACTCTATCCTCTTGACACCCTTAAAATGCTCATTTAGGTAGGTAAAGTATTACAATTATTTAAAAAAAAGAAGATATTTTTAAATGATTGTATTATTATTAGCTAGGCTATTACTGATGCGTGGATGCGCTACAGCAATAACCTGAACGAATTGCACTTTAAGGAATCCCTACATCCTCCTGAGGCCAAGCACAAAAAGCATTTGGATTATTTTAGTTTTTAATACAGAATAA